AAATACATTGCTTTTAAAATCGTGCTGTGCAACACAAAAAAAAGGTGAAAATCGTGTTGGTGAACACGAATCAATAGATTAAAAATCGTGTTGGTGAACACGAATGCCATGAGACTGGGTTGAAATGTACTACAGTATTGATTGGCCTTCCTCCTTATCTTCCAACCATTTGGAGGCAAACTTGCATTTCCCCATAACGATGTTGTTTAACAACCGGCGTAAACGGCAGTGAGCGTGCGATGTCCTGTTCAGATGACGTCAAATCCAACGGGATGCCATAAATAAACTACACAGAATCACACTACACACCTACGCAATGATACATTCAGGCACACTGTAGAATACAACCTCTTTGGACAATTTATATACTTATTGAAAACAAGCTACGAAATGTAATACCTTGGAAAATGCCGTTTAATACTTTTTAAACGGCATTTTTTAATCAAGTACTTTTAATCAAGTATTAAAAGTTGATTTATTTATGTACTTGTCAGTACAGTAAGCTAGAGTTAGCATTAGCATATTGAATGTTTTCTTAGGTAATGTGGAAGAGTTAGCAGTTTTTAGATGTAAACCAGACCCTGGAGCTTTCCTCCATAACTACAACATATCTTACTAGATATATTCGGTATGTTACACAACCATTAACACTTTGTCAGCCAGTGCTACGAGCTAACAGATACAAGATGCCAACAACATTTCAGATACTTCTGATATTAAGTCATTTGGTGCCTGAGTAACAGGTAGCCTACGGTAACAGGCATGGTTACATTTTGTAACAGGCATGGTTACATTTTGCTGATTTTCTGCTAACGTTAGCCATCTTGATGCGCAATGTACAATCTAGCAGACTAAAGATGGGTGGGATCAATAAATTGTAAATGAGGGAGAAAGAAAAGTGCTTCTAACCCTTTTTCAGTTTCAGAGACACATTATTAACAGAATATTAATCATAGCAAAGTATTTTTTGTACTGAAAGACTCCTTCTACAGGGTATATGCAGGAATCCTGAAGTCAAATTTAATACCTTTTAAGACCTTTTTTAAGACCCTTTCCATACATTTTAAGACCTCATCGCCACTTCGAGTTTCAACCTGTTACGTTGGCGCAAAATGTACAACCCAGTCTCACGGCATTACGTGTTATAGGAAGACCGGAAGCTGTGTGGTTCATAAAAGCATGTTCTTACTCAATATCAAGCCACAATTATTGCTTTTATTTTAAATCGTATAATTTCTGACTTTTGTTGACGTCTGTAAGGAAAATAAATGGGGATGGGAGCCTCAGGATACTGAAATCTGTATTTTTTAAATCTTTTTTTCCTTCTAATTGGTTATTCTTTTCAAAATAACACACTGTTATTTACTCAACAATAACACATAATTATTCTTGTTTTTATTTATTGGTTTATTTCCATAATCTCGTGATTTTTTTACGTCCGTCAGGAACTGAATTTCAAAATAAAAATAACCGGAAACAGACGTAGGCCTCTAGGAGTTTAGGATGGCCGAAGACACTACACTACCCATAATCCCCAGCTATCGTTTAGGACTACAGTACCCGTGATTAATCTTCAAGCTCTGGGATTGGATGTTGGAGTGGCAGTGCGCCAAGGTTAGCCTAGCGTCAAACAGCTGTTTGAAATGGAACGAAACCACGCCAGACTATCCAAAACTGGAATCGAACGCCCCCCCATACACATGCTGTTGTGTTTCGCAACATGTTCTATGGGACGTCTCTACTGAACGTTTTCGTTTTTCCCACAATTAGAAGTTGCCATGACATTGGTGTTATCAAATGTAAAACATATAATAAACTGACATGGGCGGAAAATCGCTTGTGTCCATAATGTGCAGCATTAATATATACCCACATGACAGCTCATTGTTACTTTGTAATTCTACTCCACTAGAATACAGAGGTTAACCTGGTATTTTTACTCCACTACACTTATTTGAGTTACTTTGCAGATTCTAATTAATGATGTGAAATATAAACAACCCTTGAATCAGACTTTAGTTACACCTGAGTAAAATTCAGGGAAGGTGATTGTCAAGTGCCAACAATCAATTGACATGAATGGAAACGAGTAATAAAGTATATTCATTACTCGTTATTCTCTACTAATAGTTAATTAAAGACTGTATAATGGCTATTTTGCACATCCCTTTCAAGATTTTCAAAGGTTATTTACATATACACAACTACGTTATATGCAATGAATGAAAATCTTGGGTCACAGGTTCCTCAACAGCGCATTAGAAGACATCTATCAATATGTGTTCCGTAACCAGCTCCACCAATTAATGTCATATTCTGCGCACATTTATTATACTATCCACATTACATAAGAGTCATAATTCATCATGTATACCATATCAGTTAAACTAAGTGCTTCAACATAGTAGCATTGCAGGAAAAGAGCAATATAGCTTCCAGCACGTACAGCTTCTTTGCAGCTTAATATTTATCGTAGACCTACAGTACCCCTAAAGCTTTTTTTCTTATTAAAAGAAGACCTTTAATCTAAAGTATATATTTGGATGTTTAAATACAAGGCTTAATCGTTTGTCGTTTGCACCTCCTCATATTAATATCTTCTGTACATCCTGCACTAAACTCGTTTTATTGTAGAGATCACTTACAGTACTTCTGCAATTTTATATTCTATATTGCATCATTGGATCCTTCTACTATTCCCCCTATGAAAGTATGTACTCTTAATATTTTTTTAATCAATATAACACATAAAAACATAATTCAAATAACGTGCTTTAAAACACTAGGCGGTGCACACAAGATACAAACCCACATCCATAATAAGCTTTGTATTATTAGTGTAGGACCTTATGATACAAATCTGAAGATGTAGCTTTATATCAATATTTTCAGGAGACACATAATTTTTACGGGCCATATTCTATACAATTTCAGAACTCCAGTATTACATCTTATATTAAAGAAATCAGTATATCTTTAAAAACTACAAAGTCTTTTATTCAGCGGTGCAACCGTTATGGTGTAAATATAACCGTATCATGAATTAGATCAAAATGTAAAATCAGCCGAATTTACTATTGATACTGCAAAGAGACGTATTGTGTGAAGAAGAAATTGAGATGTTGTCTTAATTGTTGATATAGTTATGATCCACGTCAAGTATTCAGTTCGGCCGGCAATTTCTTACCAGTTTTTTCCAAAAGGTCTTCTCATCCGCGGCCCTATACAAGAATAGAAGAACTAACAGCAATATCTGAATATTTAATCGCCAGCCGAATGTGTATTACTTCATGCCGTTATGTGATACTCTTCAAAGAGAAAAGCAAAGAACACTCGGATAAGTATTATTTTATTCTTTTAAAGTTTCTGATTTCATATCATATAACAGCCGCCAAATCCCAAACATGCATTGCGGCTAAAACATCCAATCGGCGAGCTAAACCATAGCTGAGGATCCTGGTACATCGCTCGAAATGCCTACGTCTGTTTAACGTATTTTATTTAAAATTCAGTTCCTGACCAGCAACGCCAAAAAGCCAGAGATTATCGGAAAGCTAAACAAATAAANCTTGCGTGGAGCCCCAGATCGAGGGAGATTATCAGTGGTCTTGTATGTCTTCCATTTTCTAATAATTGCTCCCACAGTTGATTTCTTCACACCAAGTTGCTTACCTATTGCAGATTCAGTCTTCCCAGCCTGGTGCAGGTCTACAATTTTGTTTCTGGTATCCTTTGACAGCTCTTTGGTCTTGGCCATAGTGGAGTTTGGAGTGTGACTGTTTGAGGTTGTGGACAGGTGTCTTTTATACTGATAACGAGTTCAAACAGGTGCCATTAATACAGTTAACAAGTGGAGGACAGAGGAGGCTCTTAAAGAAGAAGTTACAGGTCTGTGAGAGCCAGAAATCTTGTTTGTTTGTAGGTGGCCAAATACTTATTTTCCACCATAATTTGCAAATAATGTCTTTAAAAATCAGACAATGTGATTTTCTGGATTATTATTTTTCTCATTCTGTCTCTAATAGTTGAGATATACCTAGGATGAAAATTACAGGCCTCTCATCTTTTTAAGTGGGAGAACTTGCACAATTGGTGGCTGACTAAATACTTTTTTGCCTCACTGTATGTACATTTCGGTTCACCGGTTAACCGTTTTTTGGGAGGTCGAATATACATTTGCTTTCAAATTCCCATCCCTACCACCAAACTCAATGTAGAAACAAACATAACTGTGATTTGTCCCCGTGTAAAATGAGAGTTAGGTGTCGTCAATTAAGAACAGACTGTGCTTTAGAAGAAGGCTAAGCAGGCAACATAAGAGGAAACACCTGTGTGCATGGATTGTGAAGGGCACTACTGCAACACTGTTTCTCAGCTCAAACTACTTCAACTACACTGTGAGCTGACAGGTCTCATTTTGCGGGAAATCTTTGTAGTTTCTTTTTGCTGAAAAAAACAGTGTTCTTCATATGCAAATTCTGCATTGGAGTTTAGGGGCTCAAGCAGAGCACAGGGTACTTAAGACAAACTAAAGGGCCAGTTAAGCCTGCATCTGTTGTTCAAATTAGATGGCTCCACCTCATCCTTTATTTCAACAACAACAACAACAACAACAACAACAACAACAACAACAACCAGGAGGTTTTCAAAAAGATTGGTAGACCAGTTCATCCAAGTTAACATTATTAGAAATTACATTCAACACACCAGAGTAAATATTTAACAATCATGAGCTTAATTGTAAATATGATACAGCCAGATACCTTCCATTTATCTTTGAACCTGTGAAATGGAGGCGAATAAATAAAGACTCCATGGAATTTTAACCTAGCCTCCATTATGCATAACTTGCTTTTTCATTGGTCCATTTCATGTGACAGTGATCACTGAGGCACTAACAAACAGTACGGCAAGTAATACAGAGTTCTGCTTAATATATATATAAATATATCTTATAATACCTGGTAGACATCAAATGTTTAGGATATGAAAACACTTACCGATGGCCATGAATATCTCATTGACGTTCATAGAGGTCTTTGCTGATGTTTCCATGAAAAGCAAGCTGTTATCATCTGCGTATGACTGTGCGTCCTATAAAGGGAAACCAACATTAAAAAGTCATTCATTAAGATAACCTTACAGTCTTTATGGTAAAAAAACTAAATGTGGAAGAAGCATGTAAGGTAGACAGGATTGGGCCGTCTTTCAAAGTGTTTCATAAATAGGAATCTATCTGAATATTTTATGTTTCCCTCAACAGAAATATCTGTAAAGAAGTTATTGTTTCTGCATAAATTGTTAGTATAAATATTTAAAGAACACCAACCTGGAAGTCCAGTGCTCTCTTGTTTGCGAGATCAGCCTTGTTCCCAGCCAGAGCTATTACAATGTTTGGACTAGCTTGTCTCTGCAGCTCTTTAACCCAGTTCTTCGCCCGTACAAATGACTCCTGGCAAGCAAAACAGGGTTGTGGGGGGAGGGGGGGGGCACTCAGTTAGTGAAAATAACAATAAGACCCATGTGATGGAAGGAAGCGGACGGGAGCCCTCCTATGAATTCTGGCTGTGCTTCTGCTAATCTTTTGATCAATTGCCCTGAAAGAAGCTTTGGATGGAATATGAAACAAAAGAAAATGTCCTCAGGTAAAAAAAAGAAGCAGAATTGTACACAACATGGGAAGAAGGATTATATACACAGCCATGCAGAAGTTATGCAGAGCACAAAAGAAAATTAATTCAATGTACATTCCTGTATTCTGAGACCTGAAATGAAATGAGTCTTTGTTCAAAGTTTTGACTTTGATCACATACGGTAACCATTATTTCTGCAACTTGACAAGAAGTGTCAGAAGGTAATCAATACATTTCTGTGCTTTTGTTCTTTCATAAAAGTGAAGTTGAACAAAGTTGCTGCTGACTTTGTCACAGAGATACAATCATAGCTGACAGTAATGTTGACGTTTAACTCTCATGCATGTACAATTTACAAATAGAATGTCATTTTCAGATGCCATCACCATTTCTGAAACTAACAACTTAAAATGGACAATATATATATGGGTATATATATGTTGGAGAGTTGTCATGTGTAACCTTTTTTAGAGTGCAGTAACTATTGTACTTACTATGTCTATATACATTGTCTTCATAACACTATGCTGTTGGGTGTGAACTCAACTTTTTTTGTCAATTTACCAAAATAAAAATGTTTGGGCTTGACTGCTATTAAGAAAATGTAGGATGAGACCATCTCTATCTTTTCATCAGTCACAACAATGTTGGTCCAGCTCTAGTTAGTGAAAGCATCACTGGTAAAAACAACCACATGACAGATAACAAGGCACATGACTCACCTCATTTGTGATATCATACACCACAATGGCTGCCTGGGCACCTCTGTAGTACATAGGAGCCAGACTGTGGTAGCGCTCCTGACCAGCTGTGTCCCAGATTTCAAACTTGACTGTTGTGTCGTCCAAACATACCGTCTGAGTCAGGAAGGCAGCTGCAGGGGCACAAAGCAGAGGAACCAATGACAAATGGTAATGTAGCTACTGAGCTATACAAAAGTTAAAATGTAAAACCAATGCTGGAGGCACGAACAGGCAGATTATATGGTTGACTAAATCCATATTTGGAAAACCGGGCACTAGTGATTTCAAACATGTTTTATACTGATAATCCAAAATCTGGATGTGAGCTGCAGCATAAAATATGGTGGGATTCAATCGAAACACATTTTTAAATTTGTATTTACTCTGGGATGACTAATTGACAGCAAAACAGCCTGCACACTTTCATAAAATGTATATATGCCGGTGTGGGAATCGTACCAATTACCTTTGGGTCACAAACCTGGAATTTGTTTTAACCTTTCAATATCCAGTAAGCAGCATGTTTGCCAAAAGGCAATAAGTGTTAGATTCTGAAGATAATAACTGGCTGCTTTAATCTGACGTAGATTCCTGGAAATACCAGGAACTAGATATCGAGATTGAGGAATTCAAATATTCCTGTTGGCCATTTTCACAGTTACAATTCAATATCCCCTTTTATCTTTTGAATGCTGCTTTGGTCTTTATGTAATTTGATGTGACATTTTTCACCATTCCTGTCAGTTACATTTCCTATATGCCAGCACCACAAATGCACATTTCGTAATCTATTTATTGATATGTTTACACCCTTTTAAAGATTATATAGATTATCATTTCTCATTTCACTGTGACTTGTGTGTGATCTCTGAATACAATTTTTCACAGGTAAAATCCAAAACATGACCATATCAAGGTACATACCTCCGATTGTGCTCTCTTGGAATTCATGAAACTGTCCCTTGACGAAACGAAGCACGAGACTCGACTTCCCCACGGCCGACTCCCCTAAAAGCACAAGTTTGAACTGGCAGATCTTGTTGCCAGCATTTGGCCCATTGGGTCGCGTAGCTCCGCCTCTACTTGCCATGTCAGACTGCCCTGTCTCTTCCTCAGGACGCTAACACACTGAGAAAAGTGTAGAAAATACCTGCGCAGGAAAGAGGAGAAAAACAAACAAAGTGTCAATGGAATATGTTTGGTTCAAATTAAATGTACGTTTTTTTTTTTTTAAATAAGCAACATTTTAATGTCTTCAACTATGAATCAGAATGACATCAAGCACACTGATGATGTGTGTGCAAAGGGGATCAAACCCGCAATCTCTAACAAGTAACCTATACAGCCCAAGTTGCCCCTTTTAGCCTTAAATCATCAGATTAGTTGTTTCTCTTTGGGTTAATGAGCCTTAAACAGAGGCTTTAGCAAGGAAGCATAAAAATGGTACAAGCAAAACCTATATTAACAACTCGGTTTTATGTAACAAAAAACATTTCCATTTGGCTTGATGGAGAAATTCTGCTGCTTAACTTTCTATATTTCTTACAAAGTATTACAATTTTGTCCAGGTGTGCAGCTCATTAATGACGTATATCAATTCCCAAATCGCGAAGTGAGAAACCCCAAAAAAGTTCCTCAATAAAAATGACTAATTACGCCATACCTGGTTTATGCTGTGATCGTTATTTTTTTTTTATACTGGTGAACCTTTAAGTCAGAGCCCTTTTCAAATTCAAAATAGATTATACCATACTTTAAGTAGCATTTAATGACAACAAATGTAGTGTTATTATTGTTGGTGTACATGATTTAAGAAAATGTAGAATAAAAAGATAACCATCTTTTGGAAACTAAAACAATTATGTATGGGTAGAATTGGAATTTGGAAACATGTCAATGTCATATGTTTACGCTGGGGTTTTAATAGAACCTCTTAGAATTAGCAGAGCAAACCCGAAAACCTACATGTAACAGACGATACAATGATTGACCAATGGGTGGAAATCTACTGTACATACAGTCAACAAGAGTTTCACATTATCAGCCACTGTTTTCCATTTCCAAACAATAGTTGGTTGCTTGCCATTACTAGCGGAGCAAATAAGTGTAACAGGTAGGACAAAAACATACTAGGGTTGGCTAATGTGTCACATTTCAGCCTGACAGAAACCCCTACAAGTTGCCAAAGTTTCTCACCTGTACCAACTGAACAACAAGTTGACCGACTGGTGTTACTGAAACAACAAACCACTAACAACTCCTGCTTGTAGCTTTAAGCAATATGAGGCAGACTGTCACGAAGGAGATTAGAATCACACGGGTATGAGCACATATGTGGGAAAACGTTGCAGGGTCTGTACATATAAGGTGTATAACAACATCAACCATGTTAACTAGACAACAACAGATTCTCTCTGTAACTTATACATTTCCCTTTACAACCAACCAAGTAAACACAGAGCATCAGTCCAAAAATAATAAATGTGAACTCGTTGAAATCGCATTACGACACGCAGTTAACCACAAATAACCTGTTATGTTGTTGTTGACTGGCTCGCATTAGCAATTAACGACTGCTAGCCGTAGCAGCATAGCTACCTAACGTTAGCAAGTTAAACATGTCAAAACCAATAAATTCCTATAAGAAAGTACACCTTTGCCAATGTAACGCTTGTTTCAATCTGGGCAGTATCGTTATCACCAAGATCAAAGATACTCGATTTGACATCCCACTCAACATAACATTGGAGAATGGCAAAACACAGATGATGCAGTTTTGGGTGTGTACAGCTAGTGACAGCTAGCTAGCCTTAGCTGCATGACGTTAAACAAGTGAACTCCCTCATCAATCAGTGGACAAAATAGAGCCGCTTATGTTAGATATATTATATCACACGTAGGTAATCTTAACATGACGACTGATTCCGATTGAGTAGCCGTAAAACGTTAAATTATTATGCTAACTAGCTTGGCCCTTCCAGTGTTTGCTAGCTAACGTTAGCTAGCCAGATAATAGACATGGGCTGGCTAACACAGTGAACGTTGTTTAGCAGTGGCCGGGAGGAGCCCTCCGGACAGCCATTAGCTAGCTGGCTAACGCTAATATTAGCTACTCACCTACCAAAACAGGAAGCTATTTACTGTGAATGGTGTCTTCAGGACAATCTTCGTGGCACTTTAGTGTCTGTTCACAGTGTTTCGATGACCCAGACAGCTACCGTATCGTTAGATTTCATAAGGCTCCGCGATGTCCCTCTCCCACTTATTTCAACTTCCCTTTTCGCATTGTACGAAGGATGATGACAGATCGTATGACTGGAATTGACAATCCGCCTACGTAATGCTACGACGGACCAATAATATGTTAGGATTTTTTCCCAATTTACTGGTAGGCCTATGTGCTTTTCCAAAAAAGTACAACACAGAAAATAAAAGACGATGAAGACTTGCAGAGAGGAGTTATTTGCTGAGAGAAACATCAACTCCTAGGTTTAAAAATAGCATCTGTCCAGAAATACCAAAACACTTTTTTCTCATATTCGTGATTAATCGAGTATCAATTGACATCAAGTCATAAAAATGTCTTATTATTAAACATGTTTGTATTTACGCAAAAGTTATTTTAAACTAACGTTAGCCTTTATCAGTGTTTTGAATTGAATTTTCTAGTGTTGCTTAGTAACGCCAAAACAGGTGCACTAGTCCTCAGTGCCTGACTGCAGAATGTGGGGTAACGTTAACTTGCTTAGCTAGTCAGTTGAATAAAGTTTGGTTCTAGGTCGAGAAGGAAAAATACTACAATTGAATTGGTTGCTGCTGCATGTAAATTAAAGTGAAACATGACTGACGGAAATACCTCTCACCAACCGAAATATAACTTCACAGACACATGTCCAAACATACCGACGGTAAGTCGATTTTAAGATGCTAGCTAATTTTGCGTTAGCTTACTCCTGTGATAAATGTAAACGTGCGCAGTAGCTAACTCAAACTTTGCTTTGGTTGTTCCTGTACACTGACTACTATATATTTGTTCCTTTTGAAACCAGGCCGGGAAACTTATACCTGAAGGAGACAGGGCTAAATCCTGCATGCAAGAAGCAACAAGGGTACGTTTTATTTTTGGGTTTGCATTTGTGTGTTTAGCATTTTCCCTGTGGTGGTATAAGCATGGACTGTATGGGGTGCAACGTTTGCGTTTTGGCACAATTGAAACTATGAAAATAGTAAGGTAAGGTGGCAAACAGATTTGATATATTTTGAATTTACATCTGCACTTTATCTATGCCATGTCAACATTTTTCCTTTCCAGCCCCCTACCCCACCAGTGGTAAGGAAGTTCCGCAGCAGCACCCATCCAGAACTAGGAGCTGTCAGAGTGCACCAAGGAAAGGCAAATGATCCAGATGTTGCCAGTACCCTTGTTCATGGCATCAGCAGCAAAACTTCCCTCACTGTAAGTACCACACACAAGCAAACTCAATTTTTATTGGATAAAAGTGGCAAAAATAAGGGTTTTTATCATATACTGTATATAAAGGTTTTTACTTTTCACCCAACAATTGGTGGGCTGTTTAGGTCAATAGCACTCAAAACTAACAGTGTGTTGTTATTATTACTTAATGCCTCATTCAAAGTCTGTAAAATACAAAAAAAAAGTAGCTTATGGATCAAGTTAGGAAAAGAAGATCACTGTCAGTTTTACTGTTCAGTATTTATTTTTGCACAAGCTGACTTTACATACAATTATTAGCATACAACCAAAACACAGATCTAACCTTTTTTCTACCTGATTCCAACAGGGCAGAAGTGTGCTTAATCCTCCTCAAAAGACCATGTTCCAGCAGAAATTACAAGAGCTCAGTGAAGCAGTGTACACCTCCAGTAAAGCCCCAGTAGGCAGGTCGCATGATCAGCATGTTGGACTCCCCCCCTGGACTACAGACAAAACTACATATGGTGTGAAAACAATTAGAGGTATGTGAATCAACCGGACTATATTTTAATTGTCCGTTAACTGCAAAAGTCAACCTTGTTCTTGCGTTACTATTTCTATTAAATGACCAGATTTAATTAGTTTTATGAATAATTATAGTTAGAGTGGGAAGGATGAGTCTTCTTTTTTTTTTTGTCTTACATCACTTTGTTCCCAGGGTTGGATGTGTATGAGATTATTAACCCTTCGAAAACAGCGGAGGAGTTGGAGAGGGAAGCTCAGGAGGGACATGAGTCTTACATTCGTAGCCACAACGCCTATTTTGTTGGTAAGACGAAAGGAAAAACAATAATTAGGTGGATAAGGCCTTTTATTGTCACTACCTAAATTAAAACTATTTGTGCATTTTGTTGCTGATTTTTAAATGTGATGTCTGCCTGTCACAATACAATTAAAATTCTCTCCAGGTGAGAGGATTGATAGAAAGTATGACATGGGTCACTACAGTAAAGACAGCAGGTTTGGGATCCTCACACCTCATTTCACTGACGGACGTACTATTGGCAAAACTCTCCACTGGCTGGGGGAGACTAAGAAGTAAGTACTGAATTACGTGGGCACAGGTGTTTTGTGGATGATTTCCATGATACTAGCTATTGATTCGTTACATAACTAACTTAAAGAAAATTAATTGTACTTGACCTTGCATTTATGTTATTGTGCCATAGGTTTTACAATCCAAAGCCTGTGTGGAAGAGATCTGGAAACAGGGAAACGAGGCTGCCACAAGCTGGAAAAACTAAGAATCTGTAAGTTTCTGTCTCACTACTATTGACCAATTTTTTGACTATCCTTTACTAACTAAATAATGTTGAACTTTATCCTCGCTGTAAAACTATATTTTCAGGAGAGGAATTACCTTAAATCTTCAACCAGATCACACCTTTGGAAATCTCTCGCAGCCTGATGAATTTGGTAGAGTCTATGAATCTTTCCCGGGTTATATATTTGAAAACCAGCAGATGTAGTGTTTCCTGAAGAACAATTCATAAACTGGAGCTTTTGTGTTAAAGTCAACAAATAACATTTTGCCTGCTTCATGCACAGATGTTGGAGCTCTGCTCCACTGCACAGAGCCAGATGAATACATTAGAGACCGAGACGGACAGCGCAGCCTGGTCAGCGCAGTGCAACACTACCTGAAGAAAGTCAACTTCCAAAACTTCCCCTCCCTGCTGCAAGCGTTCAGACATTATGACAAGGTATGGTTTCATACTTCTGACCATTCAACTTATCACATTTAGAATAACTTAAAAAAATACAGTGACACTGTTAAAGGTGTAAAAATTTGACAAAGCATAATTTCTCAAACAGAGTCTTTTAATATCAAAGAGTTATCAATTTAATTAGGAAAATCGCAGGTGTTATAATTAATTAAAATGTTTCACTTAGGCCTTCGGCAGTAAATATTGCTGCCATTGGTTACACCTCAGTTTGACGTGTCAAAATGTCTCTGGTTTGAGTTAAGGCCAGGGATATGACCCTGTTGTTTGGACGTGTGATAAAGTAACAATGCTACTACCTATCTTATCTTGGTCTCACTCTTGTCAAACATCCTGTAGTTGTAGCCTTTTCGTTCATGTACTTCTCCAGGCAGGCAAGGGAATGATTGACAAAGAGGACCTGCAGGCAGTGTGCCATCAGTTCCACCTAGATGTGAGCAGACAGGTTCTGGATGCCCTCATGGACTACTGCGACACAGACAAGGACGGACTAATCAACTTCCTGGAGTTTTCCAACTTCCTCAACTGGAAGGACAAGATGCCCATCAACCGTCGAGAGCAATGCATTATCACAAATGGTCAGTAAAATGCACTGTAATGTATAGATGTATTTACTAAGATGCTATCCAGTCAAGGTAGCCTACAAAAGATCCTTTCCTAGAACCGCTCTGCTTCACCTGAACATTTTGCTGCAATCATTTCACATGCACAGTTCTAAGGCACTGAATTAAAAAAGCAGTTAGGATATTTCAGACTACAAAAACTATAACGTGAGAATGTGGAAGTAAAATACTTATGAACCTAAGATTTCAAGTCATAGAAGTAAAAGTGAACCAGTTAGGCTATCAGTATTTTGAATAAGGATGCGATGCGAGGTGCAATGATTAGGACTGCCACCTCTCAGAATGAGGGTTTCAGATTCAAAACTGCTAGCTGGCTTGGGCCCTTCTCTGTGTGTTCTCCTTGTATTGGCGTGGGTTTCCTCTGGGTTCTCCAGATTCCTCCCACAATTTAAAGACATGCAGCTCAGGTTAATTGTTGATTCTAAATTTTCCGTAGGTGTAAATATGAGTGTGTATGTTATCTGTCTCACCCCTCCTTTGCTCCAATGTCTGCTGGGATTGGCTCCAGCCCCCATGCAACCCTGAATAGGATAAGCGGTTACAGTTAATGGATTAATGGATGATGCAGAGGTTACATGTGGAGGCTCATTTTCTAAATCGTTTCCTATTTAATTTGTCTCCCGCAGAGTGTGAGACCAGCACCCTTCCAGCTGACATGGAGAGGAAGCCTTTGTCAGAGTCGGAACAGCTTCCTGCCTCGCGGGCCCTCGTTAAGCCTGAGGACCTGGAGCCCTTTAAGCCAGGCTGCTCACTGAAGACCCTCAGGACCCTCAGGAGACCCAAGGCCTCCCCAGACCACTTCATGACCTCCTCCAACCTTATCGGGTCTGTCAGTGATCCATGCACATCAAGTAAGTCAGAAATAGAGATGTGTGGTGAACGATAGCTAGAGGAGCATACGCATTATCACACAGTGCTACATGTGGGATGTGGACTGAAGAAAATAAAAGACAAAATGGCTGTAGTAACTAACAGTATAATACTAACAGTATTTGAGTCTATTGATACCCGGCAGGTGAGAATTGTGGATAACAACAAAACATATTCGAGACCAAAATGTGCTTAGTATAGATGAGGTGAAACAACCAAGAACTGCAATAAGCAGATTCTCTCCCTTACATGCAGATATTTTCAACAAGCATGACCCAATTGAATTTGCATTTGTGTAGGACATAAATATTGTAAGTTAACTTATTAAATGTATTCTTGTATATGTAAAGTCTCACCACATTATATCGTCGTACTGTCTAATAACAGTCATACTCATATTAACTTGAAATTGCTTAAGTGTTTTCTTGTGCACTCATGCATTCATTTTATTGCTAAAAATACTTGTTTGATGACATTTGTATTAATATGCAACGGTTTTACAAGCAGAAAAAAATACTTATTCATATTTTCCCATACCCTCATAAACCATGCTCATCATGCGGTCTCTCTTTACAAAGACAGCCGCACCTATGGGGTCCCGTCTGTGCGAGCCGACCTTCCAGCGCCACGCATAAAGAGAGTCAGTGACACCAACAACTACGGTGATTCATCCACAGCTGGAGATCTTCTGCATCCATCAGTCCATGCCCTTCAGGGTGTTCACGAGAAACACTTCTTCTTACCTCGCACCAAGAAGGAGGTAGGCACTATACTGTACTTCAAAATAAACTGTGAGTAAAGCGTGTGATGGACTCCAAGGAGAAGCCCCAATACAATCCATGTCGTGGCAAATTGCTTTTTCTAGGCCTACAAAAACAAAAAACAAAATAAATAATTATAGTGTTATTAATATGTGATGGTGGTCCAATGGTTTATACTAAGATTGGTCATTATTAATCTCCAGTTGCTGGAGTGTGGCAGTGTAGTTATAATCTAAAATGACTATGAAAAACTAAAATACATAAATCTTTCAGGTATAACTTGTACTGTATATATCATTTCTTTAGTAAAATAAAAGGTTTTTAAAGGCAATTCTCTCATCCCCCTCGTCACAGATTGCAGAGATCTTCAGGAATGTGGGTGTTGATGTGTCCGAGGAGACGTTCGAGGAAGCTTGGAAGCTGGCGTCTATGAAGCATCAAGACGGGGAGGTTTGTGTTGAGGTTTTCCGTAACACACTCAAGGAAATAAAAGCAATATAATACTCTAGCTGTCTTACCAGCAGTCTTTCCTCATCGCTAACATGTGTTTGATGCAGTTTAACATACAGCTTTCAGTCAATAATGCATCATTGAGCATATTCTACACCCATAAATAAACGTATACCCATCAGGAATATGGTTGGGTTTTAATCTTAAGTACAAACCATTCTAATAACAATAAGGTTCATATTTGCAACCCCAAAACATTACACTGTAATGATGATTAAAGTTAAAGTCCACTCCTGGTTTTGAAATCATAGATTGTGTTAAAGTCTTTACTTGTTTGATTTAAACTGTCTTTGTTTCGGCCTGAATTGTAGTAGCGGTTTCCTGTCAAATACATTAAAAAGATTCAAACACATGACACTGTATGGCATAAAAAATGTCTTATAATGTAAACACACCAATGCTTAAGAAACAATCTAATCAAAAATATTTAGCCTTGAAGTGTTTTTAATCTATTTCTGATTTAATTGCATCTTGCTTCATAACAAATCAACAAGGCATTTTCTGACCGTCCGAGAATTCACAAGTCATCTCACAAAGTATTTAATAACAAATTCAGAGATAAACATGTCAGCAAACAAAAGAAATGTTTTTCCTATTACATGTCTGTTTATTGAGAATCAGTGTCTCAATTAAAGTGACAAATAGAATTTCATGCAAAGAAACGTCTCATTTGTCATGTCAAAATGTTATCTTTTCTTAGTTGGAAGTAAAAAAAAAAGCATTCTTTTGTTGGTATACCTAAGCTGCTGTGAAACGTTGGTAATCTTTAATTCATTGCTCTGGATTTAACAATAGATACTGAGTAAATAATGAGAGGTAGGTTATCATTTTTTTTCTATCAGCGTATTAGTTTCAATTTTCAGGCTTGTAATTATATTAATCAGCCATAAAATGTGAGTCTGATAGAGATAGCACAATGAATTGATGGCGTCTTGGAGCTGAGACACGTGCAGACATTCAAACAGACACACTTTCAAAGAGATACAAGGAATTGTTTGCAATCTGTTTCGCTAACCAGATTAATGAATCAGGTTGGCTGGCAGCCTAGACTGATGCACATGTCTGAAGATTACGAAACAGTCAAATAACTAATAAAAAAACCATTAGCTTTTTGTATATTCATCACTTGTTTTTGTTTTCTCGTTAATTTCCATTAAACTGAGTGATGCACAGGCGAGGTAAATTGTTTAATGTGCTCTCACCATATCCATGAGCATATTGACATGTGTTAAGCTAACCGCACTCATTTAATCTCATTATGACTCTGGGAGATGCTCCACTGGAACCAAAAAACCCCCACGCAAACTTCCACAGACCACATATTACTATGCAGGAGAATTAGAATAATCCTCTGCGTATTTCATTATGCATGAATTAACAGCCGCTAATGACAGAATCGTCTCTGTTTGTCAGATATGTTGTCAACATAAATAATATTGCAGCAAGGTTTAACAAAATGGGATGACACGCAGCATTCACAAACCTGTCAGACGTGATGGTTTTGACAATTGACATATTTCTGGCAATGGCCGTGGGCCCAGACACAGGCTGCCTTTGAGTTATTTCAACTGGTGGGGAATTTTCTGGGAGAATTTGTCACTCCTGCTTGCAGCGATGCAGCACAACAATTTAACTTGGTGTATGTTTTGATCTCTTGTCGATCCTTAAGGAGTTGCTGGAACAGTCAACAGGCTCGCCAAAAAACATGAACCAGGACATACGCCTCCTCCTGTTTTCTATGCAAATGGTATCATTTACACTGAACAAAAATATAAATGCAACACTTTTGTTTTTGCTCCCATTTTTCATGAGATGAACTCAAAGATCTAAAACATTTTCTATATACACAAAATAACCATTTCTCTCAAATATTGTTCACAAATCTGTGATAGTGAGCACTTCTCCTTTGCCGAGATAATCCATCCCACCTCACAGGTGTGGCATATCAAGATGCTGATTAGACAGTATGATTATTGAACAGGTGTGCCTTAGGCTGGCCACAATAAAAGGCCACTCTGAAACGTGCAGTTTTGCTTTATTGGGGGGTCTGGGGGGGTCCGAAATCCCTCCCTAACCCTAACATGTCACCCATCTCCTTCGCATAGAGTTGATCAGGTTGTTTATTGTGGCCTGTGGAATGTTGGTCCACTCCACTTCAATGGCTGTGCGAAGTTGCTGTATATTGGCAGGAACTGGAACACGCTCGTATACGCCAATCCAGAGTATCCCAAACATGCTCAATGGGTGACATGTTAGGGTTAGGGTTTAACCCTAGGGTTTTCGGACCCCCCCAATAAAGCAAAACTGCACGTTTCAGAGTGGCCTTTTATTGTGGCCAGCCTAAGGCACACCTGTGCAATAATCATGCTGTCTAATCAGCATCTTGATATGCCACACCTGTGAGGTGGGATGGATTATCTCGGCAAAGGAGAAGTCAAGGCATTACTCCTGTGTAAAATAAAGGGTGAATGGTCTGGTGTAAAAAGTGGAGTGGAAAACATGTTCTCAGTTGTCATGGAGATGTCTCAGTTGTGATCATGTGACCACATTAAGTATTTAGCTTGAGTCTTGTATAGTAAATGGTTACTTATGTCACATGACCAAAGTCCCAAACTTAATTTAGGTCATGAGGAAACTCTATTCACAGAGGAAGGCTGAGCAATATGGAAAAAAAAGTGTTACATGGAGCTGGAGTAAGGTTTTTATTTATTTGGCTATATCCATTCAAAAGCAATTTTTTCAACCAAACGCATTTCAAAGCCCAGAAAACCATCCGCCCCTTCATATACTTATTCAAAACTGCAGCTGATTTATGGAGTTGTATAGGAGTCCAAGGACTATGAACTTTCATTTTTTCTTACTGTGGTAAATCACTTGAGGTGGGCATTAAAGTCGTCTGAGGACGATGTTCAAGTAGTAAGGTGGAATCATCTGTACAGTTTGGAGGTCTTCAGCTGTCTGAACAGCTTCACTGTTACGGCCCTGGGTCCCGTGATCCTGATTCACAGTTCTTCAATCTGCTGCTAGATACATTCAGCCATCACTTCTTCCCTGTTAACTGACAAATGTCCTTGCCACTTTTATTTACATCACTCTGCCAGTTTCCAGTGCCAATGCCAAATGGTTGTGACCTTCCATTCAGGATAGGCTCCCTTTGTCAGCTCTCGTTTGAATCTGGAAGTAAAGGGGAAGACATGTTTAACCTGATCTCTGACTGGTTCAAATCAGATACTGGAAATTCAGAAGAGCATCCTAAACTCAGTGTCAGTAGTGTAAACAGTACTGAAGTAATACGCAGATTTACACACCTACTCCGTTTAGACCAACTGTTTTGAATACTCAACGTTTCCCAAAGCATTTTGAAGCCAATCATCGGCAACATTTTAATAAGAGTACAGATTACTAGGACATGGCACTTGTTTACAACTTCTGTACCTCATTTAACATTAACAAAATGACGGGGAAATACTACAATTGTTTTAAAATAGTCCCTGAATCATAACAAAGCATACAAACGGCAGGTCTTTAAACCATCTAAGTTTCAACTCAAACTAAGTTCTAGTCTCACCTAGAAACAATGAGGTAAGGATCCTGAAAATAGCTTCCTTATCCTGCCGAACAGTCTGTTTGCTAGCCTTTGGGATAACATTTGAAGTGTAACAGGCTTTCTCAGAGGGGATTTCAAGACCTGAAACAGTAGGAAAGATAATCTGGCTAACTAGATAGGCGGGCATTAGGTAGAATAGCTACACTATGTGGTCCAGCAACTAACAGGATTACTGATGGAAATGGAAAGAGGCTTTGACTGAAATGATTTCGCTTTCCTGCTACACTGGCAAATCATATCAGTGGTTCTTTAGACTAGAAGAAGAACAACTAAAGTAATGCAGAAACAGAATAGTAAAATGTTCACAAGTTGTTACTTTTTGCCCATGACTTCATCAAGACATGACAGGACTTTTCAGTAAAGAGCCACAATAATGCTTGCATGATATTTGGCACCTTGAGTGAGAGACGTAGCAGTGGCACTTTATTGAGTTTATCAAACATCAAGGAGAGTTTTTGTTCTCTCGTTGTATAAGATCCTATTTCCCAATGTCAGACAATGCTCAAGCATGGAAAAAGACAAGACATTGTGACAGGACTTTTGTTTGCTCACATGTGGTATGTGTAGCATTTTGCTGGATATTTAGAATCTAATTTATTCAGTTGGTTGAATAGAAAAAAAAAAGAGGGACACAGCTGGTCTTATTTATTATTGTGCTTGTTCGAGATTTACTTTATTGGACCTCCTTTCCTCAGTTGAGCTTCACAGACGGCCCGGGTGTCTGTTAATATTTGGACAGTATGCCATGATGCCTCACTGTGAACTTACAGAAGTATTACAGTGAATACAGATAGGATCATAGGATTACCTCTGGCCTGGCTTTTATTGACTTTTCTTCCCATCAGTGCTTCTATTAATATTTTTCTTTCTTTAAAGTGTCTTGGCAGCATTTCTCCAGTGAAATAAATGTCACTTTCACTCTTTCCCCAAGTGAGGCAATACATATTAGATAAGACTCTCATCCACCCACACATGACACTTTGGAACATTTCTCCAAAATGATCCTTTCTACATACATATGAACAATATTTACTTCGCTACCATCAGCTCTGTGGCTCTGTTACCCACCCAACAAAAACAGACAAGCCATATGGAAGGCTTGCAGGTAACTTTGAGGGCTTGCCAACATGTAATTAAGTCTCTAAGTAAATATTTGTACTTTTTTTAAGTTGGGAGAGATTTGGCACCCAACATCTGAGCAAATTATTGATCTAAAAGAGTTGGCATGAAATAGATTTGAACATGTCAAAGCTGAATGACGGGAGATTTGATTGCAAGTAATACTTATATGGGCGTCTGTGCAGACGATAAGCTGAGCGCTTACTCATAGACTGCTGTCACTATTCTCTTCTGTGGTACGCCATCTTCACTAGAGGACACTTTGAAG